TCAAGATCCAGGAAGTCTTGGAGAAACATCTCCAGTTGACTTTGTTTCTAGATGTGATGCTCATGGGATCTTCACTAGGATCTTCAAGATCCAGGAAGTCTTGGAGAAACATCTCCAGTTGACTTTGTTTCTAGATGTGATGCTCATGGGATCTTCACTAGGATCTTCAAGATTCAGGAAGTCTGGGAGAAACATCTCTAGTTGACTTTCATTCTTAGATGTGATGCTCATGAGATCTTCACTAGGATCTTCAAGATCCAGGAAGTCTTGGAGAAACATCTCCAGTTGACTTTGTTTCTAGATGTGATGCTCATGGGATCTTCACTAGGATCTTCAAGATCCAGGAAGTCTTGGAGAAACATCTCCAGTTGACATCATTCTTAAGACATGATGCTCATGGTTGATCAGATGAGTAACAAACCTTCTTCCTTCTCCCACCAGCACCTCCCACGTCCATCTCGGTCATCGCTGCGGACACCCCAGCTCCATTCAGCCGCTACCAAGCCCAGAATTTTACCTTGGTCTGCCTTGTCTCTGGTGGAAAACCTGCCCCCACGGTAAGTTTTGGTAAACATGGAATAAGGAGAAGATATCTCCACCTCTAATCCCCGTTACGGCACCTCTCTGTCTGCGTTTCAACTTTAATTACCTCCTTTGTGGCTTACAAGATGTTGAAATAAGGACTATTGGCGTGATGGCATGAATCCATCTTTTTGAGACGACTCTTCAGTTTTCGCTTCAGTGCAAGTTCATAAAACAGAGTGGATTCAGAGCATGTTGAAAGAGCACACCCCCAATTCCTCAAAATTCAGTTTTTAAAAAATCTGATTGCAATCCAATTGGCTGACAGGGGCATCCAAATATTTTGGGGGATTTCAATCAATCAATCAGAATAGATCTGGAAGGGACTTTGGAGGTCTTCTAGTCCAACCCTCTGCTCAAGCAGGAGACCCTATAACATTTCAGACAAATGGTTGTCTTCTTAAAACTTCCAGTGATGGAGCATTTACAAACTCTGGAAGCAAATTGTTCCATTGATTAATTGTTCCAACTGTTAGGAAATTTCTCCTTAGTTCCAGGTTGCTTCTCTCCTTGATTAGTTTCCCTCCATTGTTTCTTGTCCTGTCTATAGATGCTTTGGTAAATAAATTGGCCCTCTCTTCTTTGGGGCAGCCCCTGAAATACTGAAATATTGCTGTCATGTCCCTCCCAGTCTTTCTCTTCTCTAGACTGTCCATACCCAATTCCTGCCATCGTTCTTTATATATTTTAGTCTGCAGGCCTTTCTGTTCCCCCATTTTTAAATAAAAATAAAATAAAATTGCACGGAGCATCTGTACAGAAAGGACACCCCTGTCTTCCCACCTGGAGATTAAAAAAAAACCTACTGGGAATAATCAAAGGGAAATATACAAAGAAAATTAAGTAAATGTTAACACATCTGCTAACTACAGCTAGAATAGCATTTGCCCAATGCTGGAAACAAAATAATACCCTCTCGGATGAATTA